TCTATATATATATATATATATATATATCTATCTGTGTGTGTGTATGTTAATAATTTTTCTTAAAATATTGTGTATGATATGTGTTATGTGTCCTATATTTTTAATAATAGAAGTGTCTCATATCCGTGTTATGTCTTGTCATACATGTGTCTTCGTGTCTGGGCTTAAGTTGACTTGGATTTGGTCAATGTTCATGCCATTGCATTTTTCTCGTCAAGCTGATCAATTTTACTGTAAGTTTGCTGAAATTAGAGTTCTGGGTGATCTTTATTGAAGTTTGAACATTCTTTTTAAAAAAATTGACTCGAGATTTGTGTCACATATCAAGATCTGTGGCGTTTGATAAAAATTTGTTGATGGTGTATCAAGGGTGTTGAAACCCAATTTAGTCGTGAATTACACCTAGGAGATATAACATAAAATGAGAGTGAGAAAAGGATAGATAGAGAGAGAGAGAGAGAGAGAGAGAGAGAGAGAGAGAGAGAGAGAGAGAGAGAGAGAGAGAGAGAGAGAGAGAGAGAGAGAGAGAGAGAGAGAGAGAGAGAGAGAGAGCGAGCGTGCTTCAATGACTCATCTCTGCTCCAGGTTTCAACAAGTAAACCTTACATTAAATACGTTATTTACTTATATAAAGTTGTAGTTATTATTGAAAGGACACTTATACTCGTGATCATCTTTGGCCAGTCAATTTTTGATAAGTTGGTTTTAGCCGGCCAACTCCTAATTGAATAGTCTTTAGAAGATCATTTTATTTTTGGTCGGCCTCTGATCAGGCAGTCTCTAAGTCGGTTGGCCTATGATCGGTCAACCTTTAATCGATTGGGATCGACTGACAATTATTATTCAACTATCCTTGCTTCAGGTATTACTGCATTGCATGAGATTTATCATTTAATATGTGACTTGTTCTAAGCTGTAGAATTTAAAGAAGATTAAGTTGAGAATATTTTTGTTGTTGAGATAGTGACGTCCTTCAAGTCGAATTAATTATTTCACTCTTCTCACAAGGCCTATAATAAATGAGTAGAAATTAAATGATTGAGATGTGTGATGCCAACCGACATATATTATAAGTATGACCTCATAAATGTGTTTGTTTGGGTCAGCTGCAACTTATTAATAAGCTGATGCACAACAACTGTCTCAGAAAGTTGCTGCACAACAATTGCCTCAGAAAGTTGCAGCACAGAAGCTACCGCGGGTAAGTTGGATGACTGTTTATTTATTGCTATTTGAAAACAATTGTAACACAACTGTTTCTGGACAAATGACTATTTTGTCCTTGTATAGTAAATTTTTTAGCAACATAACTGTTATAACAATATATATGAAAAAATAACTAACACAAACTCATAAACACGGCTACCACAACCACCTCCAAAACCACAACCACAACCTCCATACACAACCACAATCACCAAAACCATCTCCACAACCACAACCACAACCTCCACAACCACCTTCACAGCCTCCACACACGACCCCAACCACCACAACAACCTCCTCTCACAAAATTCACGGAACAAGCCATCACCACATCACCTAATAAAAGAAATCACAAAAAATCAAAATCTAAAAATCTCCAAAATCGTAGGAACCTTACGAGTCAAATGCTCACGAGTTACATATTATAAGTAGGACCTCGGAAACGTAACGCTCAGTGTTGAATTTATTGTAATCCTCACAAGTCAAATGCTCGTGATACACGATTTCGTATATAATATCATAGCTCCAGTGCCAGAAAATCCGACTCGCTTCTTATACATATGCACAAACGCAATATATGCAACAGTTCCATTTTTCAACATTCCTTCTGATCTCTTTCTGCCCCCGCCCCAGATTCGCTAATTTGCTTCTTTTTCATGATGGCTAAGCGCACTTCAAGCGAAATGGTTGCTCGAGGTTCTGCTAACTACCAACCGAGTTCATGGGATTATAGCTCACTGCAAAAGCTGCCAAACTTTCCCAAGGCACGTCTTTTATCTTTCTTATTAATTAGCTCTTATGCCGTTTTTCTGCTGCGTCTGCTATTCATTCATGCTTCGAAATTAACAGTAATTTTGCAGGAGGAAGTAAACGACCAATTGGTGGAGGAATTGATGAAAGACGTGCGGCGGGGGATGAACGGCTGGATCGAGCCCAAGCGGCAGCTGGACCTAATCGAGGCGGTTGATCGGCTTGGGCTGGCCCCACTCTTCCACGAAGAAATATGGCGAGTTTTGAGTGTGTTATCTGGTAATAGCTGCGAGGTGGTGATTCCGTGCGGCCTTCGAACAACGGCAATTTGCTTCCAGCTACTCCGACGCTTTGGATTTCTAGTATCTGAAGGTTCTCTTTCAACTGATTAATCAATATCCGGAGTTTCAAAAACAATAAAATATTCATCTTTGGTGCTTGAAATTTAATCATATTTTTTTGGACACAACTAACACCTTTGTGTCAGTCTTCACGAAGAGAAGAAAAAAAATAAGCCGAAAGGTTTTGCTTCGCTCTACTCACCTCTCCCTGCCGAAGATCCGAGAGAAACCCTCTGTCTCTTGGCTCTCTCCTTGCCATAAAATGAAAAATCAGAAAAATTGATCATTTAATCATTACTCAATTCAAATTAAATAACAGTACACCGGTCAAACATGCAATAACACGATTTATTGGGGTCACGATTCCTCCAAGGTGAGCAATACTTTCTTAAGTACCTCAATTTAGGGAAATAATTAACTTAGGGTATGTTTGGGACAATTTATTGGCCGTTTTGGGATTTTTAATAGACGGGGACACGGGATTGACCTCGTGTCCCGCATCTTGAATTCGTGTTCGGGTGAAATTGTCCACCGTGCCCTTCTTCTCTCCGTCTCCTCCCTCGCCGATCTCAAATCCGCTAAGAGGACAACCCCAGAAGTATATTACGCTGAAATGGATAATTGCTTCCGAAGATGGTTTAACTTTATTATCAATGTTTAACGCCGCTTGACCCAACGCTCGTTGCTTCTAAAAAAATGTACAGATTTGAAATAGGGATTTGTGTTTAGAGTTCAATTGTCTTCTACTTCACTCTTTTCTTTTGGTTTTATGAGGTTTTCTCAGCAAACGTGATGGATGAAGTGGATTGTCATGTTGAACTTGAAATTTCACGTCCTTTACTCTTCCCATTCTTTTTCATGAAGCGTTCTTCGGTACAGGGGACATTATAGATCAATCGTTTATGGGGTTGGGTTCGTTGAGGAGACGAGGATGATGCCCTCCACTATGAAACAATGATTAACGAAGCCGTAGTACTACTAGACATCTTCTCGTTCATGTTACCTTTTGTGTGATGTCAGGGCAAAGGGAGCCATGTGAGGAACTTGTAATTATTTGGGCTATGGAGGAATGATTGAGGTTAATAAGCTGAGGACGGAAAACCAGGGAATTGAATATAACGTTGGGGCATGAATTTTTTTGTTCTAGAGCTGCAAAATGCTTTTGGCTTAATCAACTTTCATTTGACATAATCTCTGAGAAAAAGTTATATAAACGATGGCTTAATATAGAACAAATTTACTTTTTTTGTTCTAGAGCTGCAAAATTCTAAGAAATCTTTCGTTTGAAATAATGTTGCTAGCTGACTTTATTTATTAACTTATCGGTTTTAACTATGTATTTACCCAACCAATACCTAAATTACCATTTATACATGTGCGATACCTTATTTATGCATGAAAAGATTCATTTCATTTTTTAAAAGTTAAAATGATAGTATTTTTAATATGATACGAAAAAATTAGGTGGCATGAATGTAAAAAGTAAATTTTACGTTTTAGATGCATAAATACATAAGCAATGGATGGTATATGTATGTAAATGCGCTTAAATTTATTATATTTGACTATAGATCTGCTGATAGTGTATGTCGAGACATAGTCCGTCTCAAGTACAAAATTAATATTATCGTCATTTTAATTGTAATTTTCAAATTTTTTTCTTTTTTTATCAATCTTGATACTTACTGAAAAGTGAAGATTATTTATTTTTTTTTTTTTGTATCGTTCTGTATTAATTTTCTATTGTCAAATCAGTTATGTTAGAAACAACTTACTTAACAGGGGCAAAATAATTATTTTTTCACAGACAGCTACAAATCAAACGTTTTGAAACAGTTTCATCAAACAGCCAACTAACTTGTTATGATAAGCTGTTGATGAGCAACTTATCATGATAAACTACTTATTTGGATAACTTGCAGCTGCCCCAAACAGATCTTAAATTGCCTTCTTTCATGGCCTTATTATATAGTGTAAGAGTGTAATATCTTAAATATATGAATGAATGGATGCAGGGATTTTTGATGATTTCATGGATAGTGATCATAAGACATTCATGCCAAGGCCATGTGATGATGCTGATGAGCTGCTGAGCTTATACAATGCTTCTGATATGGCTTTTAACGGCGAGAAAAAAATGGATGCTGCGAGATCGTTTGCAGTGAAGCACCTGAAGTTAATTTCAACTGTTGGCCGCATCGAAAGAGCTGTGAAACATGCTCTCGATCTTTCCCT